GCTCAAAAGCTGCCATAAATCCCTGGCCTGGTGTCTGTTCCCAGGCTTGCAAACCCAGTGCTGTCGACTGATACAGACCTTTCAGCAGGATTTGCTGAACTAAACAGGTGTCTGATGAAAAGTGTGTAATCCTCAAAGATTATCATCCCCTAAAAGCAGCTGGTGACCCCAAACTCACATAACCCAGACAGATGGAAGTTGGGAGTGAGTAGGTTGCCAAAGTTTACACTTCGGTGTTTGAGGAGGTTCATATGGTTTGGTTCCAGGTAGTGGAAGATGGAGGTGTGCAGGGGTGAGGGTGTCTGCCCCTGTCAGGGGAGATCCCTGTCTCTATCCATGCCCTTGCCTGAGAACATGATTCTACTATGGTCCATTTACACCCTTGAATACCACTAGTTTAAAGGGAAGGAATTTTCATTTTCAGTGAGCGTTAACATTACAGTTATTATGCTGGGAATTAAATTTAATTTGGGAATTTGGGTCTGCAAAAACAAATCTTGACCTTGTCTAGATAGTTCCTTCCTTATCCTAATAGATCTGTCTACATGAGGTAACTCTCTACCACTTTGATTTTCTCCCCCTGGGGGAAAGTTAACCGTTTCAAACTCCAGGGAATCAGGGCTAGTTAACATGAGATTTGATTGTCTTACTACAAGTAGTTCAGCCTTAACAGAGGTGAGGCACACTTGGGTTCCATGCAGTACAGCTTAGAAATGCTTACTTTTTATAGACAGAAGTTGCACTGTTCTTCCTTTCCCTTTAAGCAGACATCTTGATAATCTTTTGAATTGATTATGTGGCCTGTATACTGCAACTCAGATGTCACCTTCCCCAGGATAAGTAATTCCAGTAAAGCAAAAGAGGAAGCCAGCTTTTGCTATGATCAAGATAGTTGATGTGGATGAGGGGTTTATGGGCTACCCCGTTTTCAATTACAAGGCTCCCACTCACAGAGTAAGTGCTGTTCGCCAGCACCTCTGGCTCACAGACAAGTTCAAGGGAATAATTTCACCAGCGATTAATTATACTGCAGCTACTGGGATTTGTCCTCCAAACATCACTTTGTTTTCCATCTGAAACAGCCAGGTTTCTCCAGGGAGAGCTGAGGTTTTCTGATTGAAAGTATCCCGAGTTAAGGAGAAGTGTTAAAGCACCATGGGAATCTGTTCACCAGGGGTATATTGTACTTGTTTCAGATGCTTCAAGATAATACACTAGCTTCCAAGATAAGTGCCTTTTTTTTTTTTTTTTTTTTGAGACAGAGTTTCACTCTTGTTGCCCAGGCTGGAGTGCAATGGCGTGATCTCAGCTCACCACAACCTCTGCCTCCCGGGTTCAAGTGATTCACCTGCCTCAGCCTCCCGAGTAGCTGGGATTACAGGCATGTGCCACCATGCCCGTCTAATTTTGTGTTTTTAGTAGAGACAGGGTTTCTCCATGTTGGTCAGGCTGGTCTTGAACTCCTGACCTCAGGTGATCTGCCCACCTCAGCCTCCCAAAGTGCTGGGATTACAGGCGTGAGCCACCGCACCCGGCCAAGATAAGTGCTTTTTATTTCACTGCATCTTAGATCAATTATTTGGAATCCTTTTGGTAAGTTAAATTTAAGAGCTATAACTTAAACCACCACATCTCTATGATTACTCAATAAGTAAAATGTTCTTACCAAAAATTATTCTTTAAATGGGCTATATTGTAATTATGTTGTGAAGAACCTAGAAAAAACAGAAAGAGGCCAGGCGCAGTGGCTCACACCTGTAATCCCAGCACTTGAGGGATTGAGGTCAGGAGTTCGAGACCAGCCTAGCCAACACGGTGAAACCCTGTCTCTACTAAAAATGCAAAAATTAGCCAGGCCTGGTGGCTGGCACTTATAATCCCAGCTACTCAGGAAGCTGAGGCAGGAGAATCGCTTGAGCCTGGGAAGTGGAGGTTGCTGTGAGCCCAAATCGCGCCATTGCACTCCAGCCTGGGCAACAGAGCAAGCCTCTGTCTCAAAAAAAAAAAGTACAAAGAAACAAAAGGTGGCAAGAATTTCCTTTTTTAAAACATCACATGTTATGAGGGTCAGAGTAGTGAAGTGCCACCAGCTGCAGCCTTCTGAGAGGAAGTGCTGCTGCACGTTCAAATGGAATTCTGTCCTACATCCGCCAAGCGCGCCAGTGGAGTGGACATGACACACACTTTTCTTCTAAGCTCTGCAGTTTAACATATTACAAGTGAGTTCACTTAACTAGCAAGGAATCAGAAATGTATCTTTGTTCATTTTGATCGTTTTGATGGATTCTGTTTTCTCTTACATGAGGAGACTTTGTGGACTTCCAAATGGCTCCTGGCATAAGTGCCGGTTGCTGCTATTGTTAGTTCCTTGAGGGTCTCATGAGTCAGAGAGGAGAGGGAAAAACCCACTGCAAGCCATGCAGTGGTCCCTTCGGGTAGTCACCTTGGGCAGTCTGCAGTGTTGGTGCACGTCATCCCTGCACACCCGCCTGCTGTGCTGTGGCTGGAGCTTGGGTTTGCAGTTGTCTTCTTTCCAGCACCCAGGGAAGCATGGCCTCCTGGCGGGTGTTGGCCACTCCCTGCTTTCTCCTGGCCTTTGCAAGCACAGTGCAAGGGTGTTTGCTGAAAAAGACCACTGGGCTGTCAGTGTACCCACGCCCATCGGGGCTCATCACCCTGTTGCCACCTCCCCAGGACTCTTCTGTGACTATCATTCATAGCCTGAAGTCTGTGTCCAAGGGAGTGTCCCAGGAGACAGCCACTTAACATGGTAGGAGTAGCAGGTGCTAAAAGGTTTATGCTTAAATGCTCCCCATGGACCCCAAGTTGCCTGCTAGTTTGAGTGGCCTAACCCATTTAGGCTCAGGCCCTGACAGGGTGTGTCTGCGCCACTTCAGGGTGTGAAAGCACGAACAGCTGCGGAAAGCGTGGGTTTTCCTGATGCTGGCTGCTGCTGCCTTCCAGATTAGGGACTGTAGCGGGGAGACAGAACAAAGGAACACATGTGCTTCTGGGTAAGCTGGCCCATCGTAGTGGGGGACATAAGGTATGGGGGGGCACATACCACTTTGGTATGAACACTTTGGTTGTACAGAATTCTTTCTGCAAGACTGAGAGGAGTGGGGCTTTCTGTCCTTGACTGCTGGATTCAAATAAGAACCAGTAGAGGACCTGGGGACTTTCACACTCACTGCAGGGGACTTTTAATTGTGGGATCTCATGGACAAAAGGGGATAGTTCCATTCCTCCATGGCTCTATGGTTCTCACCCCCCAGGAGTACAAAGCTGGGCCCCCCCCCCCCCCACCCCCCTGAGTACATTTCTCAGCATGTGCCAAGCACTTTGGAGGCAGGTGACGGATGTGCCAATTATCTGTATTCTGAGGTGTGGGCCCCCTTCGTACTCTGACGACACAGAGACATAGAGAGCTCTTCTCCGTGTTGACAGGACACAGTGTGGTCTGGCTTCGGCACAGTGGCCATCACTGTGTTAGCATTCCTGACACACTGCTATTGAAAGCCCCAGCCTGCTGCCAAATTACATGTAGACAGTGGTTTCACTGTAAAATGTTGTGGTGCTTGTTTGCATTCAGTCAAATACTTTGCACTTAAACATGGGTTAAAGAGACAAGTAAGTCAAAAGACCTTAGCAAAACCTGAAGTTAAATTTACGCCCATTCTTTATAATGGCATTCAGATTAAAGCCATCAAAATGCAAAATGCTGTGATTATATCCTTCGAGGGTTCAGGCTGGATGCTTGTTTTATATTTCTGCATTACTGTATTTGCAGTGATTTTGAGAGGCAGGAAAATGCATCAGAGGCATTGATTTCTTCTTTAACAAAAAATAACCCTAAAATTGAGAAAATTCTTGAGAATGCAGCCATTTTGGAAATGTAGATAAAGAAGAAAAATGCTGAAGATTTGGGTGGTTTACGGAGCAGTATGATTTTGTCATTGCTGCCACCTACTGTATGTGGTTGATGTTTGTTTAAACTTAGGAAGTTCATGAAGGTGAGGCTGTTGAAATAGATAATTAGAGCAAGGTAGACATCATTAGTTTATAGCATTTCTTTTCTACTCCATAAGTGGCTCTTAATTACCGAGACAGCCGCCAGCTTTCATTCATTACCTTCAAGTGGATTTAAAGGGCTGGTTTCTTTTTTTTCTTTTTCTTTTTTTTCTTCTTTTTTTTTTTTTTCATTTTTAAAGTTCCTTTGCCAAGGAACCTTCACAGTAATGCTGTAAAATGTGTTCAAAAGCTTAAGATGCCAGGGGATTTTCTGAGCATACATGCAATAGGTTGTTTTAAGGAGTTAGTTTTGTTTTGTCTTAATTTGTAGGAGCAATGTTCTGGGATCGGATTGTAAATTAATTTCTATGAAAGAGGTGAAAATCGAGCTAGTGGAGCTAATGTGAGTCGCAGCAGTTGACTTGAAAGACATTCTTTTATTAGTCCTAAAACAAAGCTTCAGATCAACCTGCTAGTTAAATGTAACAAGCAATATAGACTCTTGAGTCAACAGAGGTCCTTCTCTTTTTATTAAGACCCAGCTGTCAAAGGGTCATTAGGTCCTTCCTGTGGAAAACAACTTGCCCATTAATGTATGGGGTGGTCCCTTGACAGGATTTCTGAGTAAGTGCCTGACATTTCGTTTTTGGAAGAATCTAAAGCTGTTAGAGACTTAGATGTTGAGACTCACCAGGAATAATGTCTTCAGCCATCGCTTTTAGTCTTTGTGAAATATGCCACAATATGTGTTTGGAATGCTGCTGCTAGCTGCGTAAATTGACTTAGAGTGCCACTGTCAAAGGTTGAGGAGCATAAACTTCACAGAGATCAAATCACTATAACTGCGAAGAGGCCACATTCTTAAAGCGAATGCACTTCTCTAGTGTGATGTTTTTACCTTGTCGCTACTCATATTACTTCTAGTGGCTCCTGTTCTAAGCTCTGGGAATGCCACAGTGAGGAATGCCCCTTTATTTTTTCTGCCCTAGGCTATTTGCTTTCTAGAAGAGAAGGCCAAGCAGGGTCTCCTGAAAAGCCTCTCTCTGATCTGGGCCGTCTCTCCTACCTGGCATATTGGAAGAGCGTCATCTTAGAGTATCTCTACCACCACCATGAGAGGTACATCAGCATCAAAGCAATTAGCAGAGCGACGGGCATGTGCCCACATGACATTGCCACCACTCTGCAGCACCTCCACATGATCGACAAGAGAGATGGCAGGTGAGTCCTGGGCAGCTCCGTGGCTCAGGCATCCCACACCAGAAAGGGTCCCTGGAGATAGTTAAAGATCGAGGTTCCCTAACAGTATGAACAAACCTTTTCTCCTAAAAATAATACATGAAATGACACTTTTTTGCTGGTTGGATTCCAGTGTTCTGTACCCTCTCGTTGAGGTGCTTTCTGATTTTTCCTAACCTAGATAACGTTAGTGCTAGCATATGTCCATATGTGAAGCTGAAGTGAAATTTCAGCTTGTGATTACATCTTGTTCTGCCTTATCACATTACAGATTTGTCATCATTAGACGGGAAAAGTTGATATTGAGCCACATGGAAAAGCTGAAAACCTGTTCCAGAGCCAATGAACTTGATCCAGACAGTCTGAGGTGGACCCCAATTTTAATTTCTAATGCTGCAGTGTCTGAAGAAGAGCGAGAAGCTGAGAAAGAGGTAATGATTGTCTTTATCATCCTAAGTTGTGTAACCTCAATCTTGTAGCATTCTTAAGCTAAGAAAGTCATTAAGATCGTTGTCAAAAGCTTGGTTATGTAGAGATAGCATGTGAAATGATATGGCACTAATTTATCCTAACTGAGGTTTCATGGTAAGACATGATAATTTTATTGAATTGAGTATGAAAAATGAAACATTTATCACTGATTACAAAGCAGCATTTTTCACTACTGAGAGCATGTAATCAGATCAAATTCGGTGCTGAGCTCCAAGGCTGCAGTGTCAATCGATTCTTTGTGTTTATGAACTTGCTTAAAGTGCTCCATGCCAGTGAGCATGTAATGTAGTGATAAAGGACTCAAATCAATTCGCTGCATCATTAATACTGCTAAATATCCCATGAAACCCAATCTTCTTTGATTTGTTATCCTAACTGATGCAAAAGGTTCCTGAGATGATGCAGCTGGAATGTGCTTGGCCGGCTGGCTGTCCTGATCAGAACCGACTTAGAGACACTTTGCCATTGATCCTCAGAGGCTCTGGCTGTGTAACTGCCCTCTCACTGGCCACCATTTTTACCCTCCCCACTTAGGCTGAGCGGCTAATGGAACAAGCTAGCTGCTGGGAGAAGGAGGAACAAGAAGTCCTGTCAACTAGAGCTAACAGTAGGCAATCACCTGCAAAAGTACAATCGAAAAATAAATATTTGCATTCCCCGGAGAGCCGGCCAGTCACAGGGGAGCGAGGGCAGCTGCTGGAGCTCTCTAAAGAGAGCAGTGAAGAAGAGGAGGAGGAGGAGGACGAGGAGGAAGAGGAAGAGGAGGAGGAGGAAGAGGAAGAGGACGAAGAGGAGGAAGAAGAGGAAGAAGAAGAAGAAGAAAATATTCAAAGCTCTCCCCCGAGATTGACGAAACCACAGTCAGTTGCCATAAAGAGAAAGGTCGGTGTCTGTTTAGATTTTCTATCTGAGTCACCTTCCATCAAATCTTATTTGTCATTGCAGACATTCTCTCTATTAGTATTTCACTCTCTGTTCTTTAGTCATAGTTTATGTGTGTGTACCCAGTCCTGCTGATCATATGTCATAATCGTTTATCTCACAGTCATGATTTTGTTTACTTTTTGAGGTTTGTTAGCAGTGTGACAGGAAACCAGGGACAGGCCAGCCTGGTAGTCTAGTAGTCACTGCCACCTGCTGGTCTGCAGGAGTAGAGTAACTGAGGTTTATGGGAACAGAAAGGGGCCCCAGAGAGCACTTAAACCACCCTCCAAGACCTAGAGGCCAGGAGACTTCTCTAAGGTCATATGACTCATTAGAGATGGAAACAGAACCAAATGCGTGCTCAAGACTCCAAGCCTGGGCCGGGCGCAGTGGCTCACGCCTGTAATCCCAGCACTTTGGGAGGTCAAGGCGGGCGGATCACCTGAGGTCAGGAGATCAAGACCAGCCTGGCTAATGTGGCGAAACCCCGTCTCTGCTAAAAATACAAAAAGTTAGCCAGGCATGGTAGCACGCACCTGTAATTCCAGCTACTCAGGAGGCTGAGGCAGGAGAACCCAGGGAGGCAGAGGTTGCAGTAAGCCGAGATGGCACCATTGCACTCCAGCCTGGGCAACAAGAGTGAAACTCTGTCTCAAAACAAAGCAAAACCAAAAGACTCCAAGCCCAGTGCTCTTCATGCTGTTTCTTTCTCTTGTTCTTGGCACAGAATTGTTAGAAAGCATTACTGAATCTCCTCAGATCTTAGTAGTCCAGTGGTGTCTCTAGATAGACCATATCATCTCCAATGGTACAGAAAGTAAAGAATTGACTTTGTTTTTAGGTAACTGCTCACCCAGATCTGATATCTTTGTCTTCCGTATCTATCTGGGACATAGAGGAGAGCCAATATTGTTAGTTCAGCCAAGCCTGATAGAGATATCACAATACAAGCTTAAGGCTCTGCCCAAGGCCATCCGATATGGCATCTGTTAGGGAACTTGCTGTTCTAACTCCCAGCTCAGCGCTCTTCTAGGCTTGGCAGTCTTCTGGAAGGGTCTCCATGGGGAGGTGGTAGAAAGGAACATCCCACAAAGTAGACGTCAGGCTTAAGAATAATGTTTCCATTTCTTAGGAGGAGTGTGTATTCATGTGTTGTATTTATAATAAAAGAAACTTGTTCTAAAAGTATCAAAAACAAGAATCATCCAAGGCATGATCTGAACTGGACTCAACCTGAAGAAAACCAGTTCTCTACCTTGGCTTCCTTCATATTAGGGAAAATTCCCTCGTGGATTAAAGAGGACAGGCAGACTGGGGGAATAATAACCGTAAATGTTAAATTACGGAATATGATTAACCGGCTGTGTGTGTGCTTCAGTGAGCATTCAGAGCATTACAAAAGTAAGACACAAGAATACTTGGAGGCCAGACACAGTGGCTCACGCCTATAATCTCCATGCTCTGGGAAGCTAAGGCAGGAGGATCACTTGAGCTCAGGAGTTCAAGACCAGCCTGGGCAACAAAGCAAGACTCTCTCTCTCTATAAAAAATAAATAAATATTTTTAAAATAATAATAATTCTTGAGTACAGTTTACCTGGAGGTTAGCTTTTAACCAAGCATATTGAACCCTTCTTTGCAGTGTATTTTCAATAATCTGGGGGGCAACAATTACATCTTAGCAGCAAATCTACCTGCTATTCCTCTTTGAATTTTGTGTCATTAAAAACTTTTTTGCTGGGGGGAAGATATTTTATAATTACAATTATGGAGAGTCATTTATGCCAACCTTTAGTGCAAACAGAAAAAATATTTTTAGGCCAGGTGCGGTGGCTCACGCCTATAATCCCAGCCCTTTGGGAGGCCAAGGCAGGTGGACCACTTGAGCTCAGGAGTTCAAGACCAGCCTAGGCGACATGGCAAAACCCTGTCTCTACAAAAAAGAAAAACAAAAGAAAAAATATTTTTATGTCATACAAATAAGACATCTGGCAGGTCTTTAACGTTTTTAGATGCCTTCTATTAAAATATTTTGCCAGGTTATCAGTTGCTTACATCTCAGCAGCCACCAGTACTTGACTCTGTTAACATTATAAACAGTAATCCTTTTTTCAAGTACCTTTCCTTTCATTTTCATAGTTCCTGAAGTCCTGTGGAATGAGAACAAGTAGGTTGGTCTTGTAGCATATTTCCCAGTGCTGTCCATATAGTGGGTGCTCCTTCAAGAGTTATCAAGTATTAAATGTGTTAACCCTGTGGCTAGTTAATTACGGCACCATTTATAAAGACGTTAGAGTCTGTGATGACCTTAAATGTCTGTGATGTGAGGAGTACTGAAGCCAGCAAGTACCACTTGGAAAATATATACTAGAAGAGCAAAGCTTAGTTTTTAAAATCTCCAGTCAAGCTGCTAGGATGTTCCCTCTCAAAGCATCTGCTTGAGTAAATAACTGTTTTATTTGGAAAACACTTGCCTGTGTAGTTGGAGCCCGAGAGGGATGTTAAACATCAAATGGAAGGTTAAGTACAAAGGCATTACAGAAGTCTCTACGTGTAAGATTCTCAGACACGTGTTCAGTACACGTCTACTGCGTGTCGACTCAACCATTTAATTTCTCATGAGCTCTTATGTGTTGTGTTTGGAATTAATTTCAGAGGGCTTTTGTACTAAAGAAGAAAAGGGGTCGTAAACGCAGGAGGATCAACAGCAGTGTAACAACAGAGACCATTTCAGAGACGACAGAAGTACTGAATGAGCCCTTCGACAACTCAGATGAAGAGAGGCCAATGCCACAGCTGGAGCCTACCTGCGAGATTGAAGTGGAGGAAGATGGCAGGAAGCCAGTCTTGAGAAAAGCATTCCAACATCAGCCTGGGAAGAAAAGACAAACAGAAGAAGAGGAAGGAAAAGACAATCATTGCTTTAAGAATGCTGACCCTTGTAGAAGTAAGTAGAGGAATGATAAAAACCTTACCCTTGAGAATGTCTGTATCTGACTGGGTGCCAAAGAGCAGGCCTCTGGCGTGATGCCCAGAGGCACCTGGGAAGTGGTGCTGATGTACCTGGAGCAAGTGCCCATCTGCCCTTTCCCATCCTTACAAGCTTCTGTCCCTTCTTCCTGGAATTGGATTTTATGTTAAACAACTTCTAAGGCCAGAACATTCCTCTAGGTGGGTTCATCTTACTTACCAGAAATTGGCTTATCCCCCAAAACTTTTAAGTCTGTTGGTAAGAAACACATTTCTTTGATTCTAATATGTACTTTTTTTTCCACATTTAGTATTTCTGAAATCAAGGTATATATTATTATCAATGTGAGCATTGAATGGAATCGTTTCTTTTTTTCCTGGAAAACAAATATTAGTGAATCAATAGTACATCTTATAATCAGTGGTGTCTTAGTATATACTACTATAAAGATTCATCTAAACTAAGCTGAGCATGATGGCTTACACCTGTAATCCCAGCACTTTGGGAGGCTGAGGCAGGTGGATCACCTGAGCCCAGGAGTTTGAGACTAACCTAGGCAACATGGCAAAGCCCCATCTCTACAAGAAATACAAAAATTAATCAGGTGTAGTGGTGTGCACCCGTAGTCTCAGCACTTTTGGAGGCTGAGGCAGGTGGATCACTTGACCCTAGGAGTTTGAGACCAGCCTGAGCAACATGACAAAACCCCATCTCTACAAAAGATACAAAAAGTAGTCGGGAGTGGTGATGTGTGCCTATAGTCCCAGCTACTTGGGAGGCTGAGATGGGAGGATCACGTGAGCTCAGGGTGAGCCATGATCATGCCATTGCACTCCAGTCTGAGTGACAAAATGAGACCCTTTCTCAAAAAAAAAAAAAAAAAAAGAATCATCTAAATTTACCCACACATCAAGATTAGCTTTGATAATATTGTATAATATAGAAATCAGTAAACTGATTTAAGTTGACAGGGACAACCTTCCTTTTTAAGTTGACAGGGACACCTGTACCCCATCCTCTAAAAAATATACTGAACACCCATGAATCGTCTTTCCTGCTGTATTTAAAACACCCATCCTTGCCTGTCAGGTTGAGAACGTGTGCTCCCAGCTGAATCATGAGGGTTTATGGTATACTGTCTCTATTCTCTGGCCGAGATGACTCTGTTCAGAACTTACTCTAATCTGGGGAACAGGCCATCTCATGTCCCTGGGAACCACAGGATCACTCTAGCTTTTGAAAAGCCACAGTTTTAAGAACAAGCATCTTCTTGACTTTCTTAGTTCACAGAAATGCTATTCCTGCATACATTTTTTTGCTGAAGGAATGACTTCTTACTCTGGGTATAGAGAAACCAAGCCTTATTCTTTGGGGTTTTTTGTTTTGTTGTTTTTTTAAACAAATCAACATACAAACCACAACAAACTGCGATGAGCAATCATTTTGTGTGTGAGAATGAGCTTTGTTTCCCCTTCTTGGCTGTCTTCTCGTATTATGCCTGACTCCTTTCAGGATGTCCTTCTTTCTTAAGAATAATTGTCAGAAAACTCATCTACTGATTTTGGGAGTTGTTCCAACAAAAGCTGGTAGGTCCAGTAGCATGTAGAATAAGAATACGGAATCCAGCCAGGCATGGTGGCTCATGCCTGTAATCCCAGCACTTTGGGTGGCTGAGGCAGGCAAATCACCTAAGGTCAGGAGTTCAAGACCAGCCTGGCCAACATGGTGAAACCCCATCTCTACTAAAAGGACAAAAAATTAGCCAGGCGTGGTGATGCATGCCTGTAGTCCCAGCTACTTGGGAGGCTGAGGCAGGGGAATCGCTTGAACCTGGGAGACAGAGGTTGCAGTGAACCGAGATCATGCCACTGCACTCCAGCCTGGGTGACAGAGCAAGACTCTGTCTCAAAAATAAAAAGAATGTGGAATCCGGGGGCACTGGCATGGCTATTACCTGCCATTGTGAATAGAAATGTCCTGAGATGACTCTTAACTCGGGCATGGTACTCGGCACTTCTCAAGGAACCATTCTGCATCATATATGTGTTCTTTTCAGCTGGTCAGTTTGAAAGTAATACTTGCAGGTAAGTTTTTCTGTAATCCTTTTATTACCTAAATCAGCCAGTGCTTACTCTGCTATTCACCGGTTGGACTAGAACTCACTCTCTTCTGGCAGAAGGGATATCTGTTTTATGATGATTGTGAGATCTTATTTTTATTCTCCAAAATAGAGTTTCTAATAAAACCATTGTTCTATATAAAGCTTTTCCTTTAAATTGACCACTGATTCTAGAAGATTAGTGTAATCTAAAGATCGTAAGAATACTTGGGTGCTTTATACATATATTTATTTATATATTTATTAATATGTATGTAGTTATCCATCTGCTTATATAAATATGTACATATTTACATCTATATTCACATGTGCATATAGGTTCAGTAAAAATAAGGTCACCTGAACTGAAATGAACTTCACAATTATGGTTTGTTTCTGATTGTCTTTAATATTCAAACCTTACATCAGCAACATGCTGATCTAGAATTCAATGTGGACAGAATTAGTGATAAAAAGAATACCTGCATTTTAAATGTTCAGGAATTTGCTAGTAATTACACTGTAGTTTGTATCATGCAAAAATGATGATCCTAAAAATGATGATGACAAGTGCATTTGTTTTGGGTATTTAGTTATTTACTGATTTGTTTCAGAGGTATACAGCTTATTTTTATGCCAGAGAGCACATTCAAATCAAAGTAAATAAATCATGTCATCCAAGATAATTTACATCCTATAAATGTCCACAGAGGTTTACTTTCTCTAGGTAGATATGAGAGTTAAGGCTTCTAGTCATTTTTCGAGGACAGTAATGATTTGTATATAAGCTACCATTAATTCCTTTCCCCTGTATGTCCTAATTTGTAAATGTTCAAATTTATTTTTTTTTTACACTGTGGAACTCTAGGTTTTTGCATCAGAGAATGTCTTGTTCATTAAACTCAAATAAGCACATTAGCATTGCCTATATCCATGTGTTCCCAATATGTTACTTTCCCAGGCCTAGGTTATTTACTTGGTTTATACCACAATATTATTACACATTACCCTTGATTATGTCTTTACCATCAACTCTTAACATGCCAAATTGAAAGCAGTGTTTGCTAATTAATTTAGAGGAATGAATTCAAGTTGCCCATGGTTATGCTTTCTAAGACTGTTTTTCTTCCTTCCCCTTTTTGTCTCTTCACTAAGACAATATGAATGATGATTCGAGTAACTTGAAAGAAGGCAGTAAAGACAATCCCGAACCTCTAAAGTGCAAACAAGCGTGGCCAAAAGGAACAAAGCGTGGTCTGTCTAAGTGGAGGCAAAACAAAGAGAGGAAGACCGGATTTAAACTGAATTTGTACACCCCACCAGAAACACCCATGGAGCCTGATGAGCAGGTAACAGTGGAAGAACAGAAGGAGACTTCAGAAGGAAAAACCAGCCCCACTCCCATCAGGATTGAGGAGGAGGTCAAGGAAGCTGGGGAAGCCCTGCTGCCTCAAGAGGAAAACAGAAGACAAGAAACATGTGCCCCTGTAAGTCCAAATACATCACCAGGTGAAAAACCAGAAGATGATCTTGTCAAACCTGAGGAAGAGGAGGAGGAGGAGGAGGAAGAAGAGGAAGAAGAGGAAGGGGAAGAAGAAGAAGAAGGAGGAAATGTAGAAAAAGATCCAGATGGTGCTAAAAGCCAAGAAAAAGAGGAACCAGAAATCTCCACAGAAAAAGAAGACTCTGCACGTTTGGATGATCATGAAGAGGAGGAGGAAGAGGACGAAGAGCCATCTCACAACGAGGACCATGATGCCGATGACGAGGATGACAGCCACATGGAGTCTGCCGAAGTGGAGAAGGAAGAGCTGCCCAGAGAAAGCTTCAAAGAAGTACTGGAAAACCAGGAGGCTTTTTTAGACCTTAATGTGCAGCCTAGTCACTCGAACCCAGAGGTCTTAATGGACTGTGGTGTCGACCTGACAGCCTCTTGTAACAGTGAGCCCAAGGAGCTTGCTGGGGACCCTGAAGCCGTACCCGAATCTGACGAGGAGCCACCCCCAGGAGAACAGGCACAGAAGCAGGACCAAAAGAACAGCAAAGAAGTCGATACAGAGTTCAAAGAGGGAAACCCAGCAACCATGGAAATCGACTCTGAGACCGTCCAGGCAGTTCAGTCTTTGACCCAGGAGAGCAGTGAACAGGACGACACCTTTCAGGATTGTGCCGAGACTCAAGAGGCCTGTAGAAGCCTACAGAACTACACCCGTGCAGACCAAAGTCCACAGATTGCCACCACTCTGGACGATTGCCAACAGTCAGACCACAGTAGCCCGGTTTCATCCGTCCACTCCCATCCTGGCCAGTCCGTACGTTCTGTCAATAGCCCAAGTGTCCCTGCTTTGGAAAACAGCTATGCCCAAATCAGCCCAGATCAAAGTGCCATCTCAGTGCCATCTCTGCAGAACATGGAAACCAGTCCCATGATGGATGTCCCATCAGTTTCAGATCATTCACAGCAAGTCGTAGACAGTGGATTTAGTGACCTGGGCAGTATCGAGAGCACAACTGAGAACTACGAAAACCCAAGCAGCTACGATTCTACTATGGGAGGCAGCATCTGTGGAAATGGCTCTTCACAGAACAGCTGCTCCTATAGCAACCTCACCTCCAGCAGTCTGACACAGAGCAGCTGTGCTGTCACCCAGCAGATGTCCAACATCAGCGGGAGCTGCAGCATGCTGCAGCAAACCAGCATCAGCTCCCCTCCAACCTGCAGCGTCAAGTCTCCTCAAGGCTGTGTGGTGGAGAGGCCTCCGAGCAGCAGCCAGCAGCTGGCTCAGTGCAGCATGGCTGCTAACTTCACCCCACCCATGCAGCTGGCTGAAATCCCCGAGACGGGCAACGCCAACATTGGCTTATACGAGCGAATGGGTCAGAGTGATTTTGGGGCTGGGCATTACCCACAGCCGTCAGCCACCTTCAGCCTTGCCAAACTGCAGCAGTTAACTAATACACTTATTGATCATTCATTGCCTTACAGCCATTCCGCTGCTGTGACTTCCTATGCAAACAGTGCCTCTTTGTCCACACCATTAAGTAACACAGGGCTTGTTCAACTTTCTCAGTCTCCACACTCCGTCCCTGGGGGACCCCAAGCACAAGCTACCATGACCCCACCCCCCAACCTGACTCCTCCTCCAATGAATCTGCCGCCGCCTCTTTTGCAACGAAACATGGCTGCATCAAATATTGGCATCTCTCACAGCCAAAGACTGCAAACCCAGATTGCCAGCAAGGGCCACGTCTCCATGAGAACCAAGTCAGCGTCTCTGTCACCAGCCGCTGCCACCCATCAGTCACAAATCTATGGGCGCTCCCAGACTGTAGCCATGCAGGGTCCTGCACGGACTTTAACGATGCAAAGAGGCATGAACATGAGTGTGAACCTGATGCCAGCCCCAGCCTACAATGTCAACTCTGTGAACATGAACATGAACACTCTCAACGCCATGAATGGGTACAGCATGTCCCAGCCAATGATGAACAGTGGCTACCACAGCAATCATGGCTATATGAATCAAACGCCCCAATACCCTATGCAGATGCAGATGGGCATGATGGGCACCCAGCCATATGCCCAGCAGCCAATGCAGACCCCACCCCACGGTAACATGATGTATACGGCCCCTGGACATCACGGCTACATGAACACAGGCATGTCCAAACAGTCTCTCAATGGCTCCTACATGAGAAGGTAGACAACGTGGGCAGTCCACAACACCTACGGGGTATCACTATTGGATCGATCTGCACAAATACCTTTGAAGAGTACGATTTCAAAACCAGCAATTGGTGTGAATGCAAAAACATTTGTTGGCACCATTTATTTAAAAAAAAAAAAAAAAAAAAGCTGTATGCAGCAGAAAGCCTTAAGCTGTATGCAGAAAGCCTTATACAAGTTGTTTTTCTTTTTTTCCTTTTCCTTTTTTTTTTTTTTTTTTTTTTGGTACCTTCATTTCTGTTACTTTTATATAAAATTCTCTGCAAAGGAAGGCCTCTCTTTGGACTACAATATGGAGGCAGCCACTTGTTGTGCCTGCTTCTGTTAAACAATGTGGATATCAAGCCCCCCCAAATTATCTGTTTTAATATTGAACCTAGAGCTTTTTTTTTTCCTTCCCTGTCCACTCCATGTAAATGCCTTTAGCATTTCAGTTATTGTATATTTTGTTTAAGGTGACACTTCAGCATGCCGCTAATGTCTTTGTTAGTGACAGTGCATTTTGTAGTACTGTACAAGTGTTGTGCTAACAGTAAGCCATTTCTTAAGTTTTTTGCCTTGATTAGGGTGCCCTAATTTGAGGGTTTTAAAAAAAACTATATTTTTGTTAATTATAAAACTGTAAAGAGCTATAAAAGCTATTCCCATTTGGTTAGTCAAAAGGGTTTTATTGCTAAATGTTTGGTGTAAAGTTGAGACCCTTTTCCATTTTGGTGACAGATTTCTTTGGGGAAAAAAGGCAGCTTTCTGTTTTATAAATGCAGACTTCTGTTTATTGAATGAAGCATATCTCAGTGTTTATCTGTCAGGTTTTGAAACATTTCATATATGTCCAAATACTTGGCAGGATTTAAAAAAAAATAGTGAATTTGGTGTAAAGTTGCTATTTTATGGAAATGCCTCTAACTTTACATTTTCATTCCATCTGTAGATTTTTCTATCTTTATAAAATATTGGAGTTATTTTTTAAGGAAAAATAGAAAAGTAGCTTGTGAATAGCTCAAACTAAGCTTACAAATCGCATGTAAAAAAGCAAAAAAGTTATTTGTGTCTGTTTATATTGCTTCCTTTTTTGTAGCCTTTGTACCTGTACAGGGTGACAGTAAGGGCCAAGCAGGAGAGGCGTAATCCTTGTATAAAATAGGATCCAGCGACACTCTTGTATTTATCTGTTCTCTTTTTAGTCAGTCACTTCAAAAAAAGAAAAAACAAACAAAAAAAAGCTGTACATTTTAACATAAAATAAATTATGATGAGCCATTTTTAGCCTCTTGTGTCCTGTCATATTATGATTGATAGAGAATGACCAATGGAACTGTATCATGTGTCACGCCTCAGAACACATACACATTTTGGGAAAATAAATTATTTAGTGTAAATTGGAGTTACGGGATTTTCTGATTTGTTTTGACTTTGGGGGAGGGGTTGGCAATAAATAAGAGTAATATCTAATAAAACCATCACATATACCAAATACCTATTTAATAAATTAATTTATAATGGATTTTAATGCTTTTCATGAAAGTTTATTTTATGCGAGTGCATACCTTCTGTATGCCAATCATTGTCTTTAAAATAAAGTGAAATTGTTTTTTTCTTTTGGACTTTGATCTTCATTTGCAAAGAGATCCCGCACAAATATCCAGCTGCCTCACTCGCACCGTCTGTAGAAACACCCCTCCGAGCCTCGCACCAGGGTAGCAAACTTCCTTTTTATAAAGATTAATACCAAAAAAGCACCCAATTTGGGATTGTATGTTTGAAACATCGTCGTCTTTTTAAAAAGTGTGAACGTTTTGCTCTGTTGTGAATGATTAATTGTATGTTTTCTTTAGAGCCTGAAGTTTAGACCCCCTGCCAAAAGTGAATATTCACAAGTATAGCGTTCAGAGAAAGTTCTGAGTGTTGCTTGAATTTGGTTATTTGAGCAGTAAGTCTAGAAATGAATTCTTGACCTAGCACCCGTGTGAAACTGGCCCGTTAAGCTCTCCAGGTATCTGAACATGTGTGCTCGCAACTCCTCTGTTAAGCAGGTCACTACCCTGTGGAGGAAAAAAGTTGCTTTTGCACTGTTGGTCCAACACAAAAAAATTAGATGTTGCACAAAGCATAGATACAAGCCTTAAAGTGGACCCAAAATCATGCAAAGGCAGGATAGAGCATACACACCAGAATAAAAGGCCTTGTGCAGACGGAGGGTGCCCAGTGAAGTTCTGCCTTGTACTCTCACCCGTATGGTTATTTTCTTTCACAGTTACAAAGTATATTGGGTTTAGTGTCACGATGTTATCTTTTAGTCTCTTCCTTCCTCAAGTGCAAAGTCAATGGGGGTAATATATGTAATAGCTGAGGAAGGGATTCCAAGAAGACACGTCTGCAAGGGCCATCGGCACAAAGGGAAAAGATCCATTTAAGGTGCTGTGCTAGTAGGGAAAGAAACCTCTGAAACATGCTCCGAGTGGGAAGTGGTGGTCTGTGCCTGCACAAATCCAACACTGCGTCCATTCAGGAGTGGCCAAGCACTGGGCAGCCCAGTGGGCCGCACATCGGACAAGAGGCTGCCCGAGCCCTGGAGGTGGGGTTGGGGCCTGCAAGCAATCTGATGGGGAAGCTACACAGAGCCCCCCCACAGGCCCCAACCTGAAGCTGTCACATATTTTGTCTCTTTCCTCTTGGGTTAAGATTCTCTGGGGGCTGAGATTCCCCTGTGTGTTCCCTTTGGCCGTGGCCTGCTAATCACACCTTGTGGTTTGTGCGATGTCTGGGTTCCCATACCCTGCTGGCCTAACAGCCTTCTAAGGGAGCTTGTGGAAGAGTCCCAGGCATTGCCCCAGACCTGCCAAACCCGAATCTAAGAACAGTCCCAGGGACACCTCGGTTGCCCAGGCTCCCTAAGGACTGCAGCAGAGCTAGGACTGGGAGCTTCCCTGCTGGCCCCAGTCCCCACATTCCTTGATGGAACAGAAAGGCTTAGCATGGGAAGGAAACTGCTGATCTGAGATGGCCTCAGAACACCCTGCCCTCCACCTCACCCACTCTCACTAGAGAAATCAGTTCACATCTGAATGTGACGCCCAGGATTTGGCGAAACAGGAACTTGGATTCATCAAAGCTGAAATACACCATTAGATTGAGATTCATTAACAGGCCACATCGTTTAAAATCGTAACTGTGTTCTGTTATTTAGAAGAGTCGTACCAAGTGGTGGTCAGTTGCCAGCCTCACTTTTTAATAGTTGCAAGTGGTGCCTGCCCAGGTATGAGGGCATCCGCCTTCCTCACCAACATTCTGTTTTAGAAGTAATGACTCACAATATTGTCACAAAGCTTTCACAAACTCCTCCCACACACCCAACCTGTGCAGGAAATGGGGCCATTCTTTCCAATGTACAGATCAGGAGGTTGAGGCTCAGATTAAGCTACATTAATTACCCAAACTCACCCAGCTGAAATGTATGAGCTGAAACAAACCCAGGTCTTTCCAAATCCCAGCTCTTTTTTTCTAGAACACTGTACTCTGAAAGGCCCTAATTTGTCACCTCTCTGATTCAAAGGCTTGGCTACTGAATGCATGTTGCTGTAAAAACTGTTAAGTGCTATGTAAATACAGGTCCCTTTGTGGCCACAAGCAAGCCTTGGTCTACAATCAATCTTATATTCTCAAAGTACAAGTACTGTTACATTATGAAGCAGCACCTTCCATTTCTCTGTACCCAGGGTTCCATCGTTCCTTCTACCTTCTCTGTCCCCTTTCCTGGACCCTCCTCCTCCAGGCTTAGCTGTAAACATTGATGTTCTGAAACACTCGGGCCGGGACTATTTTCTCTTTTCTCTCATCATCTCATCTAGTATGATGACTTCAGATTCCACCTCTCTTCAGGTGACACCCCGTCTTAGCTCGCCAGTTGTGAACATTCCTCTGAGCTTTAAATGCCACATCAAATGACCTGGGGCACCTTTTGTACCTCTGCATGACAACCGAACTGGTGATTTCTGACTCCTCCTCCATTCCTGCTCTGGTCCACCCCATCTCAGTGTTAAAGCACTGCCGAGAAACCAGATCAGTTAACCCTCATTTCCCCTCCCCGTCTCGGCAGGTCCTGTCCATTTTCTGCGTTAATTCCAAAATAATCTTGAATACTAATCCCCTGGCACTGTCAGGCCAGTCCACCTCCTCCTTTCCTGTCAACAGCCTCCTAACTGGTTTTGCCTCACTTCTTAACTCCCTACAACCTGTTCTCCATACTTCAGCCAAAGGATCTTTCCAGAGTGATCTTGAAACACTGGCTTAAAACCCTTCAGTGAATCTTCTGTGCACCTGGAATACAATCAAGTCTCTCCACCCCTCTCCTTCCACTCCCGCTCTCAGCCACCAGCTCCGGCCTCAGTGATGCGCAGCTCCTCAGCCTCGAATGCTCCAGCACATTCGGAAGGTTTGTGTCTTCAAGTCTAAGAGAGGTCTTCCTTGACCACCCCGCCTAAAGAGGGTTTCTCCCCTTCCCCACTTTTCTCCACCTCCATGCCTATTTCCTGCATCGTGCTTTATCACAACGTGCATTTTCATTTTTCCTGTTGGCCCCTAACCCAGGTTTTGGCATGTGGTAGGTTCTCAATAGGCACTTGGTAACCAAACAAATATTTCCTATCTTACTTCTGAAGACTCAAAACACTTTTGCAAAAACTTCTGTTCCTCCTTTCTCCTGCCTCTGGTTCCCAGGAGTCATCTAGAAGAGACCATAACTGCAATTTTGCCATTCTCAGCTTCTGCTGCCTTTGGCAGGACCCAGAGTCCCACAAAGAGATGAGAGCATGAGGAAGGTGTGGGGTGCTCAGGAAACACCAGCAATGCACCTAGCTGTGCTCTATCCTCCCCAACGTGAATTCATCTAAATGTAAATATTCATTAAAATGGAAATACTGACTTCTCTCTGGACATGGAACAGATCAGAGCTAAGCAATAAGAGAGTTCAGACGGGGGTAGCAGGATCCTGATGGGGAAGCCCAGGTTGGGGCCACTATGACCCTAGGTCCCTTTTGGCCTGCATCTCTTTCCCAAGAGCCGGAATATGGTCCCCTCACACTCAAGTATGAGTCATTAAGCAATTCCATCATCTGTAGTCGTCACACACCCAGTATTGCTCTCTCCCTCACAGCCACATGAGTTGTGACTGATACACTCCATCTCTGTCCAGTTCAGGACTCTCGCACTTTCAGAGGGAACATGTACCCCTTTTCTATCTTAGCACCAGGACACACCAATTCACTGCACATTTCTGTTTATATATCATCTTTGCCTTTTTGCTTTGCAACCCCTTTGCAGTGTTTCAGGTTTCAAAATGTATTAGAAGACCAGTGCTCTTACCATGAGGGAGTCCCCGGGGATGCCACCAAGCCCCATGTGCATGTGAACATGAGGGCTTTGGCTCCTCCTGAGCCAAGGCGACTCTCAGAGCAGACTCGAGGCAGTCCCAGGAAGCCAGGCCCAGCCACAGGGGCACAAAGCAGGGCATATCCCCAAAGGTCACAGGGTGACTCTCGGGTGGCTTACACATCTGCTGAGGCCCTGGATTCTCTCCTCCACCCATCAATAACTTCCTCTTTCATTCTGCTGAAAACCACAACCAAACTGAAGAACCAGGCCCCTTTTTATTTTTTCCTAGAAGGCCTTTATCACATTCTGGTTTCTCCAGGCCGTTTCCGTGTCTGGTCCTTGACGGCCAGCATCTCCAACAGCAGCAACTCTCTTTGGGTTCTGTCGGGTTTGGGATTCCTGACCCTGGAAGCTGTCACTACCCACTTCGTGCCTGCTGCCGTTTTCTCCTTCAGAGTGGAAATCACGCAGCCATGGTGCTGGCTTAGCTCTCGGGGAGGCAAACGCCACACCTGAGCTTACCTGGCTGCCCCATCCTCCCATTCCACAGCAGACAACAATTTGCAAATACTTTCTGCTGTGCCTGAAAACAAGCTCGTGTTGCTTTGACTAGAAACCACGTGAAAAGAGCCTCCCTGAGGTCCCACTAGAGAGGGTCTCCTCCCTTTTTTCCCCCAAAATTAGAAAGTCAAACTCCTACTTGTCCAAATTCACCACAATTCATTGAATTTTTCTCAGTAGTGGCAGCCCTGGCTAAGAGTCTGAGGAGCCCTGGGTCCCTCAGGAAAGTGGGGGAAGCCTGAAGCAGGGGCCTCTGTACAGGGGTTCAGGACCCCTCCCCACCCAGCTGGAGGAGCACATCTAGAGATGGTGGCGCGAGCCTGGGGGTTCCGCTGAAAAGACGAACGGGGTGCAGGGGATGCCACAGAAACGCAGGATGCCGGGAAGGAGCCTGCACAGCTACGCGGGCGCTCCTGTGACACCGCTCACCCAGTACTGTTCTGTAGTTGGAAAAGCAATTTCTATTTTAAAATACTTTTTATAAGAACGTGAATTTCCTTTCAGACAAAGCCAAACGTTTAATCACAACATAATGCGTACAACATTTTAAAATTTCCCTCTTCCTTCTCACCAAAAAAAACAAAAGGCAGGGAGACTGTGCAGTGTCGCATGCTCCTCTGTGACCCAGAGCCGGGAGCCCGTCCCTCTCATTTCACTGAGAGACTGAGTGCTCGGCTCTGCCCGGGGGCAACTCTGGGTCCTCCCTGTCCCCAGCACACATAGGGAAGTTGAACAAGACGGTTTGGAAGAAGTCGAGCTTTGGTTTAACTGTCCCTTATCTGGAGTCCTAGGCCAGGGCTATGTTGTGCCTCTCCCCTCTGTCCCCCAGTGCCTCTGCTGGCCAGGTGAGTCGGGCCCTACAGTTCCCTGCCATCCCCCTCACTGTCCTGGCACTGGGCCTGTCGCCTCTGCTGCACCAGCTGCTTGTCCAGCTCCCGGAGCTGCTTCAGAAAGCCCCGGTTGGGGAGGACGCAGCGGTTCTTGGCTACTTGCTGGATGGCGTCCACCAGGGTCATGTCTTTGTGGATCATCAGGTAGGCCAGGACCAGGGTGGCTGACCGGCTGCGGCCCATGACACAGTGAACCAGGATCTTACCTGCAGAAGAAGCGGGGAGGAGAAAACCCACACTGAGGGGCAGGCGTTGGGGGCACAGGTAGGGCCCACTCCCATCCTGTCACCCTCTCGCCCACAGCAAGTGACTCAGCATTGTGCCCCACAGCTGCCTCTGTAGAACAGTGTCTTCTTCATAGGGTTGTTGAGAAGGCAAATAACCCTGTAAATAACTCGATTTTAGCACAATTTGTGCTAATGAATGGCTGCTGAGCTCCTACAGTGTGGCCGGGCTGCCTTTCCCCTGAGCACCGTGGCCAGAAAGCAAGCACCCACTTCCTGATTGCTGTTTCGGGTCTCAGGGAGGCTGGTCCCAGGTTCTCCCAGGCATGACCGTGCTCCTGGGGTGTGAACGTGTCCAGCTGGATGAATGTCTACCCCTGCCATTCAAATCCCACAGATCTTTCCGGAGGTTGCCGGGCCCCTGGCCAGCCCTGCTGATAACCAAAGCGTTTCTTCCTCTCCCAGAAAACAGGGTAATTCTTTCTGTCATGACTCAATACTTGAAACAGATGAAAACTGTAGTTCATTAAGCCTTTTGGGGGCCTCAAGTCTGTTAAGTGGCAGGGGGAAGGGGAGAAAGAGTTGGAAGGGAGAGGGAGGGGGGAGGAAAGGGGGAAGTGGAGGGGGTGGGAGGAAAGGGGGAAGTGGAGAGAGCGGGAGAGAAAGGGGAAGAGGAGGGACAGAGGAAACTCAGCTCGGGTAGGAGCTCCAAGAGCTGAATTTTGTTTCCAAGACTAGGGCATGAGGCCGCGCGCGGTGGCTCACACCTGTAATCCCAGCACTTTGGGAGGCCGAGGTGGGCAGAGCACCTGAGGTTGGGAGTTCAAGCTGGGTGAACGCACATCTGTTACCATTGGAGGAGTCAGCCCCACTGAGAAGAATCAAGGTCCAGGCAACACTTTTGTTCCTTCTTGGGGTCAGATTAGCTGAGACCCATCATGCCAGAGCACATCTCTCACAGTCACAGGGGCCAGCACTATACCTGCGTTGGGCTTTTATTTCCCAACTTCTGTCAGAGCTCCAAGGGTCCCCCTGGCCAGAGCACACAGTGGGAGAGATCAGCACCCCTCTCATGCTTGGAGATACTTTTCTTCATGACTACAGTCAGAGCCCTTGAGGCGTGCCTGACCAGAGTTCATCTTTAGGAACAGCAGCAGCTGGTGCATACCTAGGCTTGCAGGTCCTTATGTTCTCACAATCAGAGCACCTGGAGCCCATGTGGTTAAAGCCTGGCCAGCACGGCAAAACCCCGTCTCTACACAAAAATTAGCCAGTCGTGGTGGTGCACCTGTAGTCCCAGCTACTTGGGAGGCTGAGGCAGGAGAATTGCTTGAACCCAGGAGTTAGAGGTTGCAGTGAGCCAAGACTGCGCCACTACACTCCAGCCTGGGCGACAGAGCAAGACCCCATCTCCAGAAAAGAAAACCCAAATCCAGAATCTCTACTGCTCCTCAACTGCGTGCTTTTAGAAGTGACTGGAAGGTAGGCCCCTGTCACGAAAATCAGACATGGGCTAAGGCTGTTACCCTGCACCATGGCCCGCCCCCAGCCAGCTGTGCTCCTTGCTAAGCAGACTCCTTCCTTGCTTTCAGGAGATGCTCTCTGCCCACCTCCCATGCACTGTCTGGGAACCTGCCTTTCTTAGCAACTTGCAAAGAAATTCTGGTAGAGCCCTTACTTCTTCCCAAGAGGTTCTAGGTATGTGGAAGTTCTGAGAAAAAAAGGTGCAAGGTGTATTACTAACTGCCAGGGCTGGAGGGAGATAGGGCAGGAGACCCTTAAACAGTGAAAATTGGCCGGGCGTGGTGGCTCACGCCTCCAGTCCCAGCACTTTGGGACGCCAAGGTGGGTGGATCACTTGAGGTCAGGAATTGGAGACCAGACTGGCCAACATGGTGAAACCCCATCTCTACTAAAAAATACAAAAATTCACCAGGTGTGGTGGTGAGCACCTCCCAGCTACTCGGGAGGCTGAGACACGATAATCATATGAACCCAGGAGGTGGAGGTTGCAGTGAGTGGAGATCGCGCCACTGCACTCCAGCCTGGGTGACAGAGCGAGACTCCATCTCAAAAAACAAATACAAAAACAAAACAGTGAAAATCTGGTCTGGTTAAAGCTTATTAGAAGCACCAGAGAATCAACCTCCTGCTTGAAAGCAGGATTCATTTATTTATTCATACCTCCCTTATCCATAATAGTTTTTTTTTTATTTTTTTTGAGATGGAGTTTCACTCTGTCCCCCAGGCTGGAGTGCAGTGGCCAGATCTCAGCTCACTGCAAGCTCTGCCTCCCGGGTTCACGCCATTCTCCTGCCTCAGCCTCCCGAGTAGCTGGGACTACAGGCACCCGCCACCACGCCCGGCTAGTTTTTTGTATTTTTTAGTAGAGATGAGGTTTCACCGGGTTAGCCAGGATAGTCTCGATCTCCTGACCTCGTGATGCGCCCATCTCAGCCTCCCAAAGTGCTGGGATTACAGGCTTGAGCCACCGCGCCCGGCCTCATAATAGATTTCAAGATGCCTTCAAAAGCAGACTATGGACTGTTTAAGAACAAGAAAGAGCAGACAAAAGGACAGCATGATACTAAAGCGCCTCGTGGCATTTGCCCTGGAGTTTCTTAGAAGACTTCATTAAATTAAAACCACACTAATTCACCTCAGAGGATGCCGCATCAGGGCAGTTAAGGCAACGCAAGTGGGGTTCCTGTGACAGTATTTTGTGAGGACTTATTTTTCTGATGAAGAGTGACAAGTTCAGTTTTTTCACATCCTATAACCAGCTGGCATGCCTCGCCCTCCATGATATTTGGTGACCTCTTATACAGCAAAGTCACCAGGTGCTCAAAATAAGGGCAGAGGACTCTTCTGTGAGGCCTCGGTGACAGAAGGAATCCCTGCTGGTAGGCAGGTGTCCTGATGGCGCTGCCTCTGATTAGCTCTGTGACCCTGGGCACCTCACTTGGCTTCTCTGGGCCTCTGTTTGCCCAGCTGTCAGGGCAGGACCGGGGACTAGATTATCTCCGAGGTATTTTAAGAGTGACTGAGGTTGCCTGGGGAGTTCTTTCTAAAGGGTCAAGTCAGGGTAGGGCTGGGGTGGGAGAGGGCCCCAGGGGCTGATTACAGCCACAGTACAGCTCCACAAAGAATGCTTTTCAAAAAGAGTGAAAGAGACTGGCTGTGAGAAGCCAGGTGGGAGGAATGGTGTACACTTGGCTGAAACCAGTCAATGAGAACGAAGAACATAGACAAGAGAAGGCAAAGAGTGATGCCTTGCTTTTTGGCCAGACTATCTATCCAGACCTCCTACATAGAGTGTAAGAAACATACCCGGTGAAACCCCGTCTCTACTAAAAAAATACAAAAAACTAGCCGGGCGAGGTGGCGGGCGCCTGTAGTCCCAGCTACTCGGGAGGCTGAGGCAGGAGAATGGCGTCAACCCGGGAGGCGGAGCTTGCAGTGAGCAGAGATCCGGCCACTGCACTCCAGCCTGGGCGACAGAGCGAGACTCCGTCTCAAACAAAAAAAAAAAAAAAAAAAAAGAAACATACAAGTGGGTCTGGCACTAAAATGCCAACCAGTGTCCCTTGGTTTTCCCTTGGATCTGGCACTAAAATGCTAAGCAGTGTCCCTTGCCTAGACACAACTGGGCCATCCATTGCACTGGATGGCTGAGCACCTGCCATCCAGTGGGTATGAAGTCTACGTTATTGCTGCTCCTAAGCTAGTGGCCATTTTGTTTGGTTGCTGTGACCACTCACCGCACAGGTTACAACCTGATGGCCACTGGGTTGCTTTAGTTTGTCCTTTGCAGCATTTTAAGAAATTTCAATCTGTTGCCAAGACCTAAAAATCAAGCGATTTTATAGTAAAATCCAGATTGGAGACTTCTGAAAAGTCAGATCTCCCACATTTGCACTGACTCTCATAAGACAAGCATTAGCTGAGGCTGAGTGGTAGGTGCCCCTGTGAAGGGGGTACAGGGCTCTCTGCTTAGCCACAATGCCCCCTACCCACACCTCCCTGCTGTACATGCAGCCAGCTTCATTTGTTTACACTCTGCGTGGTTCTGCAGGGTAAGCATTTGAGCCCTGACTTGAATTCTTTAGACATGTCAGTGCAAAGGCGCTGAGAGCAGAGCCTACCCTGCCATCTCCAGTGGGGTCATGTCCTGCTCCCCATCTCTAGCCATCCAGTCGAGTCCCAGCACCCCTATCCATTCATTCTACCCCCCTCAAAGTCTCTGATCTAGTATCTACTCTCCTCCCTTGGCCCTTCATTTGCTAGGTGCCACCTGGTCTAACAGTCATGATCCACAGCAGCCTGACACCTCCTCACAATTTTCTGTCATCTGCCTAGGCCTAAGCTTCAACTTGAGACCCTGATTCTTTCTGGATTTGGCAATTGGGGCAGACCCTAAAATTGAGTGCCAGGAACCTAAAACAAGCTTTCATGTGAGTATATCTTACAGTTCAAAGTTGGAATGTCTTTTTTTATTTTCTTTGAGGATTGGAAACTTTACGATGATGATGTGCACATGCTGGCGTGGTTATATGCTTCACGGTATATGACCATGCTTTATCAAATACATCCGAGAGCCTGCTGTCCGCCAGGTTCTATGCTAAGCACTTTATGTGCATTACTGCTGATCCTCATTATAACCTCTGAAGGTAAATATTTTTATCACCGGATGGAGAAACCAAGGCTCAGAGAAATCACAACGTTACTAAATTGTGTGTCAGAAATGTAAACCCAGCCCTGTGTTCTCCGAAGCCTGCCAGGCCCTTTCCATGAAGGGTAAGGTCTAAAACATAGTAATGGCAAGTGAGTGCATTAAACAGAAACGGAAGGATTAGGTTGTTGCAGCCTTTGTTTTTTTCATGTCAAATATGTTTTCAGTTAACTTCAAATGCTATGAGACAAATTTTACCTTGTGGTGATGACTCAGTTCAGTTGCTTTTTTGATCCTGCTTGGAAACCCAGAATGTACACAGCACAAAAGATGGTTCATAAATAGACTCATAAAAGGAAGGCCTGGAAATGAGGCATCTTCTAATACAAGCATGTTAGCTCTAAGGGTTTTTTTCATTGTGACATTGCTTTCTGAGCCAAAATAATGACAAACTGTTGGTGGCTATGGTTGGCTGTGGGGCCAGGGCCACCTTGGGATGTCCATTAAAGTCTGATACTGTCCAGCAGACCTGGCCTAGGCCCAGTCCCAGGTTGCAAGTTCCTGCAGCAGACAGTTTGGTCAGTCACTGAGACTTGACCTCTTGTGGCAAGAAAGGCTTTCAGTAACCGGATACCCTGTATTATGTGATGGCTCCACAAAGGGGTGTGTGACACATTGGGCTGAAGTCAGAGCACAGATTAGGGAGCTGAAGTCCCTCTGGCCTCTGTGGAATGCCACTAAAGTACACCCTGCAGCAATAACTGTATATTGTCTTACCCCCGATGCGTCCCTAAGCTGTGCCCTTCTCTCCAAGATAGCCTTGTAGTCTTTGCTGGATTAGGGTAGCCAGCAGTGCATTCTGAGCACAAAGACTAGCACTGTGATTTAAAAGATGGATAATTAACGCTGGGAAAACTTGGAAGCTGGAAGTGCAAACCCTAAATTATACCTCAAATGCAGCGTGCCAGTAAAGCTCAGCTTGTCAGCTTTCTACTGGAGGCCTCACTAGGTTAAGTGTAAATGGGGACATGGCGGCTAGAAGGCGGGCTGTGAACTTGGATGGTGGGCAGGAGAATTTAAGGTCTCTCCATGGATTCCCACTCAAGTCAGCTCCCTGAGGGTTTTCCGGCATCAAAGCCCTTGGCTACTGGTTGGGTTCAGGCCCAGGCACAATTACTGTCTCCGGCTGTATTCCCAGCTTTGAGGGCTCCCAGACCGCCTCCGCCTTTTGAAGGACGGCAAATGTCCTTTAGCAAAGACTCCGACCAAAAGGCCTTTTTTTTTAACGCCCTATTTCCATTCCCCAGAGCTGCAATCAAGGTCCGAACCCCGCCAGCAGCACGCTCGGTGGTGCAGGTCCTTAAACTTTCACAGCTTCCAGGGGCTCAGACCTTTACCGTAGGCCACAAGCAGCCCCAGTGGCCTAGCTTTGCGACAGACAACGATTTCGCACGCGTACATCCCGCTTCCGTCCTGGGCCTCGGGCGGGAAGACCTTGGGCTAAGGGCGGAGCCTAGGCTAGGGGCGGAGCCTTGGCGGGGCGGGGGAAGGGGCGGGGCCTAGACTACAAGCGGGGCAGATCCGGGCGGGGCAGGGCGGGGCCGCGGGTATCTTACTGTGATCGTCGCGCAGCGCTCTGTCGATGAAGGCGGCCGCCGGGTGGAAGAAGACACTGAGGTCGAAGGTGGGCAGGTCGTCGGCCTCCACGCCGTGGTACTGGATGTCCATGTCACGGTAGTAGTCGGGCCCGGTGTCCACGTTCCAGCGGCCGTGGGCCGCGTTCAGCACGTGCGTGAACCCCGCCTTCTGCAGCCGGTAGCGGTCCAGCGCCGTCGCCCTGGGCGCAGGGGAGAGAAATCTGTGGGCGCGCGGCGCCCTGCCCTGGGTCCGGGAAACTCAGGGGCCGCCCACGCTTTCTGCCGTGGATTCCAGTTCCCAGAATAAGGACTAGTTATTGCAAATGAAGTCCCAAAGCTCTGCTCTTACCCAGTCCCCTACGCCACCTGCACTGTTTTGTTATTCTGGCTCGGTTGTCTCGAGAAAGGACAGGGTGTAGGCTGGGGTAGGCGAGCTGAGCTATTCGTTCGTCCATTCGTTCTTTCATCATTCACTATACACAGTGGAGGCTGGTGCTGGACTCTACGATGGTCGCAGATCTGGACCTGCCAAATTGCCTGAAAGCCCTCCAAAATAACCTGTTCATCAGGGCTGCCTTCACCCAGCGTCTCCTCTGAACCTGCCGTATGTTTTTAGGGTCTGGAGATGGAGGCTCAACTGAATGGTTTAAAGCAAGGCCTTCCATGAGAGGATTGGATTGGGATTGAGCAAAGTTCACAAATTCACGTTGGCACGATGTGAACGGGAAGGTATTGCTTTGGGGAGCTGGGAGCTGTTGCCCAGCTGGGCAGAGCATTGTTCTGAGAAGGAGGGCATTTCGAGCCATCTATTGTTTGAATTGATTGCAGGGAAGTTCTTGAAGCCAGCAGTGAAGTTATTTAATGGGCTACAGCTTTATCTTTCTAGGCAAGAATTTCCAGGAACAGTAAATTTAGTCCTCTTGAAGTAGATGGCTCTGGAGTATGACTCGACCAGAAGGCAGCATGGTGGGACCGGGGTAGAGATGGGCTGACAGAGGAAACATGGGTTCTTCCTACCTGTGGGGTGGGGCAGGGAGGGACCTGTGTCACTACAGGTGTCAACATTTGGTGATGGAGGGGAAGAAGGAGGCAAGCACGGGCCAAGCCAAGGAAACAGCACCATCTAAGGTATGGAGCCTGGAGACAACGAAGGCCTTTCAGGAAGCATTGTCTATTTCCTGTAATCAATTATCCCTCCCCAAATAATGATTTGCAATCTATTTGCACTGTGCTGGGTGCTGATGGTAAAGAAGTGAACAGAGGCTGAGCATAATGGCTTACGCCTGTAATCCCAGCACTTTGGGAGGCCGAGGCAGGCAAATCACGTGAGGTCAGGAGTTGGAGACCAGCCTGGCCAACATGGCAAAACCCTGTCTCTACTAATAATACAAAAAAAAAAAAAAAAAATAGCCGGGCATGGTGGCACATGCCTGCAGTCCTAGCTACTTGGGAGGCTGAGGCACAAGAATTGCTTGAACCCGGGAGGTGGAGGTTGTGGTGAGCCGAGACCACGGCACTGCACTCCAGCCTGGGCGACAGAGTGAAACTGTGTCTCAAAAAACAAAAGAAGTGAACAAGTTAGTGAAGGTCCCTTAGGAAGGTCAGATACTAATGGGGGTAGGAATAAACAACAAGTAAAGATCATTTTAGAGAGCAGTGAGAGCTGTCCGAAGGACCTAAAACTTCATGACATGATAGAATGACCGTGGTCCTGCTTCAGGCAAGGTGGTCGGGAAAGGCCACTGTGGGGAAGTGGTGTTTAAGCCAAGACTGAGGGTGAGAAGGTTGAGGATGAGTTGGAGAGAAAGTGTTTCATCCAGGCAGAGGGAACAAGTGCTGAGAACAGAAAGGAAGCCAGTGGCTGAAGTGGCAAGGGGAATAGTGGTACAGAAGTTTGGAAAGGTAGAGGGACTGGATCATGGTGGGCCCTGCCCGCCATAGGAAGGAGTTTGAGTATTATTGCAAGTGTGGCGGAAGTCTGCTAGAGGATTTTAAGAAAGAAGTAAGCATTTTTTACTTTTTTAAGATCAATCTGGCCAGACAAGGTGGCTCACACCTGTAATCCCAGCACTTTGGGGAGGCCAAAGCGGGAGGTTGGCCTGAGACCAGGAGTTCAAGACCAGCTTGGGCAACATCATGAAACCCCATCTCTACAAAATATAAAGAAAAAAATAGCTGGGCATGCTGGCATGTGCCTGTAGTCCCAGCTACTGGGGAGGCTGAAGTGGGAGGATCACCTGAGCTCAGGGAGGTTGAGGCTGTAGTGAGCTGTGATTGCACCACTGCACTCAGTCTGGGCAGAAGAGAGAGACTCTGTCTTTAAAAAAAAAAAAAAAGAAAGAAAGAAAAAGAAAAATCAATCTGGCTGATGTGTGGGGATGCTGGATGTTAGGATCTGTGTTTGGGAGTCAAGGAGAGCTTTAGAGAGTGTTTAAAGAGAAGTGATACAACCTGGGTTTAAGAAGACATCTCCCTCAATTGCGTGAAGACCAGTACTTCAGCTCAGGGAAGACGTGACAAGGGTCTGGAGCCGTACCAGTAAGAGGGTAAAAGTGGCATTGCACTCCAGCTGAGGGTTCATCTCAAGGCCACTGGTAAAAGCACGTGGACAGAAGTGACCATGTTAGATGCTAGCAGGGACCAACACCCTGGGCCAGGAGGAAGCCTCACACCAGAAATACATGCCATGGCCCCTCGGCCAAGGGCGCGCTCGTCTTTCACTGGTTTCCTGGAGCTTTTTATCTGGCATGAGAACCACGATGGTGTCCAGTGTTTGGGAAGGGAACTGAGCATTTGGAAACATTTGCAGACAGCTCGTCGGAACTGTGGCATGGGGAGGTGGGGAGTCCCACTGAGCCCCCCTCCACTTGGCTCTTGGTGTGGCCATTCTGACTGTGGGACACATTGTGCTTTCCGTTTTTCCTCAGAAAGGTCTGCTTTTCATTTTTCGTCTTGCCCCAAAGTATGTATACAACAAACATTATGCTTTGGGGATGTAGCTCTGCGCCCAATTAAAGCCGCCGCTAATGTGGTCCATCTTGCTGAGTAGCAATCAACCTCACTTTGAGGTTGGGCTCAGTGGAAAAATTAAAATTAACTCTCCTTGACAGGAAGCTCCTACCCACCGTGAAGACTGTTCTCTCTGGGTTCAGTAACTGGCCTTCAACATAATCAAGTGGCAGTTTAAATGAATAACAGTTTGCACTTTGCCACTTTTGGGGAGTGGGGTAGGTATGCAACAAGACTCATTGCCTGACACCTCCATATCCACCGCATCAGGCTGATTTTGGCTGTGCCTGAGGGAGAGAAAGGCTCGTGAGGACTCCAAGACCTGGTGGGTATTTGAGGCCCACCACAAGTTTTCAGGGTCTTGGCTCCTTGGATGGGAAGGGGAGTCGGTATCCTCACACATCACTCTGGGGACTCCCCCCAGCTTCGTTCACTAGAGTTCAGTTGAGGGCTTGAAAGAGCATCCACAGCAGAATGGGAATCTGCAAATAAACGGAGTGCCTCTTACACAGATGCTGTGGGGGAGGCAGAGCCATCATCACAGACACCCATCGTCCAATCCCCAGCTGGGACAGACACCCAGCTCAGCAATTATTGGGAGTCGGGCAGGCTCAGAGGGTGGTGTCTGACACTAGATTGCTTTGGTTTTGTTTTTAAATTTCAGGGCCAGATACATTATCTGCTCACATATGTTGAAAAGAGACTAAGAAACACAGGGGCATTTTGAGGTGATGGGCATGGAGAAAAGGCCATGTACCCCACTCCTGGGTCCACATAAATGCCTCTGCTGAGGGAGAAAAGACTTCAGAAAGAAAAACAGATTTAGGAATGTAATTCCAGAATCTAGATGACACAGGAGCTTTCGTTTCTGGTTAGGCACAATCCTAGATGTGATCAATCTGTTCAATTTTTATATAATATGTCATCTCATGACAAAAATAACAAATGCTCAATGTAGAATGCAGAAAACATACTCCCCCTCCAAAAAAATCACCTGTATTTCTAATCCCCTGGAGATAAAGGCTATTGTTAGCTTTTGATGTAGGAACCTCCCATTGTTCCTCTATGCATAGATTTGCATATTTTATAGAGAGTGGTGTGTTTTTTTGGTACAATACTATATATAAACTTTCAAAACCTTTGACGTGGTGATATATTGTAAACATCTTCCTATGGCAACATACAAGACTTCAATAACTGCATGCTATTTCATTATATAGGTGAGTCCCAATTTTTTCTTACCAAACATTTTGCTGTGTTTCTTTGGGCACTCCTCTGATTTTGTTCATAGGAGACATTTTTAAAAGTGAAATTGCTGGGTCAACAGATATGGCCATTTTAAAATACATTTGATACTTGTTACTAAATAACCCTACAGAAAACTTGCTAAAATTTGCAGTCCATATACTTCGTCAATTTCATAGACAAAAGAAAAATGGTGTCTTGTTTTCACTGATTCATTTTAGCAATGAGGGACTTTGTTTACACATTTGTTGGACTCATGCAGTTTACTTTTCTTTTCTTTTTTTTTTTTTTTTTTTAACATTTTTTGACTCTTTCTAGTTCATTGGAATCGTGTAGTTTACTTTTTTTTTTTTTTTTTTTTTGAGACAGAGTCTTGCTCTGTTGCCCAGGCTGGAGTACAGTGGTGCCATCTCGGCTCACTGCTCACTGCAACCTCCGCCTCCCAGGTTCAAGCAATTCTCCTGCCTCAGCCTCCTGAGTAGCTGAGATTACAGGCACGTGCCACCATGCATGGGTAATTTTTGTATTTTTAGTAGAGACAGGGTAACACCATGTTGGTCAGGCTGGTCTTGAACTCTAGACCTCAGGTGATCCACCTGCCTTGGCCTCCCAAAGTGCTGGGATTACAAGCGTGAACCACCATGCCTGGCCTATGCAGTTTACTTTTGAAGAACACCATCAGTCATATCCCCGTTTTGACTCACTTCTCTTGAACTCTTCTCCCTTCCTGTGAACTTCCAGCCTAGCTCTGGATTTGGACTCCGGATTGGAGGAGGGCTGAAGAAACGACTTCCTTCTTGCATGGCCCAATTTCCTCAGCTAAGCCCTTCCCTCCCTGCCTGCTTCTCTGGCCTGGCCCGGATACCTGCCAGCCCCTCTGGAGTTGTTCCCAGGAAGCTTGCTTCAAAGCCCCACCCCAGAGGAATGACAGATAAGCTGCCTCTCC